TATATATATATATATATATATATATATATATATATATATATATATATTTGTTGATGATAATGACCTCTGACTCTGGTAAGTGATTGGATTTGGAATGAGGAATGAGGAAGTGAGAAAACCCCCCATGATACTAATCTAAAGGTCCCAACATGGGCTCATGATCCACGGCTGAGACTATGCTGGCTCTGTCTATAGGTAGCAACAAGATGTTCCCTAAAGGCCTCCTCACTGCTGCTTCCTGTGCTTGTCTGGATAGAGACCAAAGAGTTTGCAATGACAATGAACGAGAGAGCAGACAGTACAGTCACGAAAAGGAAGAGTCGTCTTTATTTGGTTCACTGATCCTCCCATAATGATTGAACTCAGTTTTACATTTAAGAAAAAAAATTCAGATGAAGTTAAGTAAAAATTCTTCACACAAAATGAAAATACAAACACATATACTTTTTTTCAGCAACCATGTATAAGGAGTAAGTAAAATAAACCTTGTTCTAAGCTTATTTTAAATTTTCATTAACTCTATAACTAATATTTTAAAAAGCAATCATGTCACATATATGACAGCAGCCATTTCCCCCCTCCATTACCTTTATTCTTGTCTCTTTGAAAGCCAAGTCATAGAGCATAGCATATACCCCACATACTGTATATATGTATATACTGTATGTATAGCATATATCCCATATACTGTTGGGAGAAGCCACCCTGGTTCCTGCAGGCTGTTCTCTGTTCCCTACCCATGACATCTTACATGGTCAATTCATAACCTAACAGCTTACTTCCTCCAAGCCAGCAAGAGAAAAAAATCCGCTAGAGCCAATCTGTTAGCACACATTACCTCTATGGGGTCCTGTTTCATCACCTTTACTGTGTCCCGTTCATTAAAGGCAAATCATGGACTCTGCCCTTATTCTAAGGGAGCAGATCATTGAAAACTAGGAAAACCGTAAGTCAAGTAAGGGGCAGGCAAGACGATCGCCTTCGAGTAAGCCTGCCACACTTCCTATAGTATGATCATTTATGACCTCGATGTTTATCTTCTCACACTAATATTGGCTAACATGTCGATAAGCGGTTGACCCAGTCTGAGCTCTGGCTTATTCGGCTTTCTGCTTCAACATCCCCAACTTTGCATAACCTTAGGCAACATCCATAATGTCCGTGTCATATCGGTGATGAGTCTGGAAAGGTATGGCACAGTTCCCGTGGCATTCTTACGTTGAAGTCCCGAAGCATATTCTTTGGCACATGTGAGGTGCTCCTAAATCTTAGTAGGTACAAAACATAAATATATAATGGAGTCTTCAGACATATTTTAGAACGAGAATGAAGTCCTAGCAGGTATATTCCCCACCACAGAAAAATAGTTTTCTATGCTTCTTGCTTCTCACGGGTTCCACTTTGAAGACCGCCCTACAAAGCACCGTGCCTGCTGCAGAATCTTAATGAAAGTCCTATTCCTGTAGTTAAACTGACGTGCATTTACATGAAACCACAGTGCCAGAGCTAGAAGATGGCTGGGGAGCAAGTTTGCAGACCTCCCTCATCTGACAGAAAAGAAATCAGAAATTTAGAAACAGGTCAATGGTATGCCACAAGTTAAGGGGCTCTGGCACGCTAGACTGAGTCGGGGTTTAGACCTTCGATAAAAGGAATAAGGAAGACAAGACAGTCCTACTTCATCAAGAGTGCAGTGAAGCAGTCTATAACCAAGCCACAACCATCATTTTGTATCAAGGTATTCCCAACAATATTTAATCAACATTAATGATGGTCATTTTAGATACACTGCTTCTTTCATACTGGATACAGAAATTTTTTTTCTAGAAAATCTAGAAAACCTATCGTGCAGAACATAAAATAAGACATGTTTATTGGGGATAATCCCCCAGAAAAGGGAATAATTAAATACTCCTTAATCATAGCGAGATGATGGATAATGTACTAATATTATGCAAGTCCGATGGGCATTGTCAGATGATTGGAGTCCCCGTTTAGGGTCCTACATAATTACCCTTCTTATCCTGGCAGAGGCTTTGGTGCCTTTTGTTAATCAGTAGCACTCCAAACCACTGTGGGACATTCAGCCAATCAGACTGCTCAATTACCCGGTTGAATGGTCTTGACCTCATGAATCTGAATAGAGGGTGTACACAATAGCGCAGTACTTTTAATAACAATGGAACTGCCATAAGGGATGAAAGAAAAGTGTGGTTTAAAAAAATAATTAAAATTGGAATGAGAAAAATCATAATTAGCTGTGAGGATTGCATATCTTTGTTCAAATGTTTCTCACTTGCCTTTTGGACAAAGAACTAGAGAGAATCCTTTTCATGTTTCCTTTCTTGCAGATCTGGATGTCCCGATTGTTGACAGCTGGACCTTGCTTGCATTTCAATAAAGTAAGGGCCCATGTAAATATTTGGGAAATAGAAGCAGGAGGAGGAGAGTTCAGAGACACTCTTACAGTGAGTGTGTTGAGGCTCCCCTGGAGACGGGAAACGTGAAAAGGGATGAATAGGTGTGCATGGTTCAAAGGCAGCGCCAAGTGAAAGTTGTCAATCAGGACCTTCCCATCCTGGGGCTGCAGAGGATGGAGGAGGAGATTACGTGGAACATGCACTACTGACTATGGAGTTAGCAGTTTTGTTTCACACACACACACACACACACACACATACACACACATACACACACATACACACACACACATACACACACACACATACACACACATACACACACACACATACACACACATACACACACACATACACACACACACATACACACACATACACACATACACACACACACACACAGAGCTATGCTGTTGCTGTACAAAATTGAAATAAAACGAAGCTTTCATAAACTAGAATCAATAAATATAAAATGAAAACTAGAGTAAGAAGGGTCATCAATGAAGACATGAATAATGTCATTTCTTCAATATGCATACTCTGGGATTATACAGGGTCCGTAGCAACTGAGTTTGTTAGCGGAACCCCAGGACTTGAAAGGGTCGTAGGAGAAGACAAGGTCTGTAGGAAATGGTTTACTAACAAGGGTCAACTTGCCAACCCCAGCACCTGTCCCCAACAGTTAGGTTCTCCACCAGTACCGCCTTACTACTGTAGCTGTACCATACAAAAGGGGCATCTCAGGGTGAAACCGTGATCTCTGGAGAAGGCACGGGGCTTCACAGAGTCAGTACGTGAAAGTCATATTAACAGAAAAAAAAAGTTTGAATCACACACCAGTGGCACATGAGGAGCGGGCTGAGGGAGGATGGTTAACAACTAAATAAGGGAAAATGGATGAGGAAGGCCCGCACTGGAGTAAGCTTCAAAAGCCTGGGATTTGAATATCAAAGGAGAAAGAAGAGCCCTTGGGAGAACCGGCGGGCTCCCTCACCATTTCTGCAAAAATAACCTTCTCTACTTCACTGGGAGAATCAAATGTGAAAGATGTCTTACTAAGCTGTCCTGTCATTTTCCCTGGAAATCTAAATAAGAAACATGATTTGGACTTTATTTGACAACTTAATGCACACTTTCTCGGCATGCTAAGAGAAAATGCTCCGTTTGTGCAATTTTATTGTGCTTTTTGAGATAAATTTTCTGCAACTCTTTCGAGCCCTACTCACACGCCCTACCCAGGCACCGTGTTGGCTCACTAGAAATATTTAGCCTCTGACTAAAATTTTTTAGGTATTAATTAATGCTAATAATACCAAGCGTGTGAGAGTGAAACGCAGGAGGAAGACATAAGACTTGTGGTGCCTGTGGGGCAAAATAAAACCAATCATCAGCGTTAGCCACACAGCAGAGACGTGAGTTCTCTCTAATTTTTTGAAGCTATTTTCATTTGCATAAATGTGTGCGTATCTATGTGGGGGTGCCTGCAGAGACCCAAAGAGAGCATCAGAGCCCCTGGAGCTGGAGTTGGAGGCAGTTGTGAGCTGGCTGATATAGGTGCTGGAGACAGCACTCAACGTCCTCTAGCAGAGCAGCAAGTGCTCTTCGCTGTTGAATTTTGTCTGCATCCTAGAGACACATGTGGCTACAACAGGCGTGATTGTGCTCTCTGTGAGGCTACGTTTTCTGTGCTCATAGATTAATTAACCTTCTGCTCACTAGAGCCCAAATGCTAGGTACACGCATCTTCAACAAAATTGATATGTTTCTGCCTAAATGCTTTAATGAAGGACCCTGAGACCATCTTGTTGAGCCCAGTTACAGACTTGGGTTGTGTGTGTGTGTGTGTGTGTGTGGGTGTGTGTGTGTGTGTGTGTGTTTAAGTTACTAAGGCATTGTTTCTCAGAATGTCTTCCAGTGTGTCAGTTCTTAAAAATCTCTCGAGCTACACAGCATGTGCAGAAGTGCCCCATAGTGAGTGAATCAGCTTTGAGAGTGGATGCATATCCCTTTCAGAGGCAGATGCCCAAAGCCTATTATGTCCCTAAGAGCCTGGGTCAATCAATACAACAGAATGACCAAGAGCCCACATTCTAGAACTCAAGAGCCTAGGTTTTATCCTTGACTTTCACTTATGAACTGCATGACCTGGGACAGGTTTTTAAACTCCCGGTAACTGTTTCTTCATCAGCAAAATGGGAGCAATAACAAACCATCTTCTTCACAGTCTAACACCTACAATATCTGACACTATCAACTGCTGGGTGGTGTCGGTTTCAGCTAGGTCTTACTTAGGTGCCTGCTTCCAAATAGCCGACTCTAATTCACGCCATATTTGTTGACAAAAATCCCCCATCATTTTCCTGGTAACATCTCTTAATATACTAGAGATTAACTATGTGAAAACTGCACCATCATAGCTTTTAAGGAGATGAGTATGTCATAATCGCTTGTAAAACCTTTCAAAAAATAAACTAAAGGCTATGGTGGTTCATCTTGATAGTCAACATGATCAAAAGCACAGCTCTTGATGTGTCTGTGGGTGTTTTCGGAGAGAATTAAATGAGGCAAAAAAACAAAAACAAAAAAAGACCTTGGTTTTAGATTGTAATCCTCTGGACTAGAGTCCTGGGCTGAATAAATGAATAAGAAGCAGAAAACAGGAAGGTAACTGCCTTTATCTCTCTGCTTCTTGACTGAAGATGTCATGTGACCAGTTGCTTCGTCTCCTGCTGCTGTGCCTTCCCTGCCATGATGGATTGACTGTATCCTCCAATCGTAAGCCAAAGTAAACCTTGCTTTTCTTCAGCTGTCATTGTCAGGTATTTTTGTCATAGCTTTGAGTAAATAACTGCTGTGACAAACCTGACTTGTGGTCCTTGAACCCTTGGAAAGAGTGTGGGAAAAGACTCTGGAAGAGTTTGGAACATGAGGCTACCAAAGCCCTAGAAGGCTGTCATCGGAGATTAGCAGGCCATTCTGGTGGGTGCTTAGAAGACAAGAATGTTGAGAAAAATGCTGGCGGTGTTTCAGAGTGCAACAGGATGCTATTGAGGACTGGGCTAGAAGGCATTTCTGTTGCATTATGGCAAAGATAATAGGCGCCTTTCTGCCTGTGTCCTGTGAACTTGAGTGAGCCTGAATATAAGAGAAATTATTTTATTTTCATAATCACTTATTTAGCAGAGCAATTTTTCAGATAGATTGGCACTCAGGTTATGCCGCGGTATGGTGCCTGCTCACTGTCCTACAATGAGCAGGCAGAAAGGTGTGAACAATGCAAAGTTTGATAAGGGAAAGGGTGTGAGCATATTTGAGATGTGAACAAACTGGTAATGGGCAGAACACACTTAGGTGTTAAAGAAATTATCATTCTTAAAGAAAGACACACTGCTTTCACTAGGGCAAGAGGAAGATCCCACACATTGATGGTTCAACGTGTGAAATGGTATTCATATTAAAGCAAAGGGCCTGCATAGAGAATGCCACTGAAGTGGTTCCATGATCCAAAACAACAACAACAGCAACAACAACCTAGGAAGTTGCTTTCCTGGAGTCCGCACGCAGAGGTCACTGTGGTGTAGTCCAGAGAACCAGGCATTATCTTGAGTTACAAAAGAACTAAGCAGGACTATTCAAGTAATACTGACCTTTACAGTATGAAACACACAAGAGTTTTCTGGTCCCACTGGGCCACTGAACTATGTGTGGCAAAGTCAGGATCCTCCCCCAGAAGGCCCAGAGAGACGGTTGCTTGACATTGTGAAAGTGAAGGCCAGTTTTCAGTGGAGACTCCAGGATGTTGGAGATGAGACATTGAGACATTGCTAAGGAAAACTGGCCTAAGAGAGAGAATACATGTGCTGAAGATGGTAGGACTGGATAGGAGAAGCTACCAAAGTGTTTTGAAGTCCAGAAGATTCCGTCATGAGTCTTGGATGCCAGACATGGAGCTGCAGGATTTGATGCTTTTCCTGATGGGTTTTGGTCTTGCTTTGGTCTGGTCTTTCTTTGTTATGACCCCATTACTTCTGTGAAGGTGGAGATATTTGTTCTGTACCATTGTTACTTATGGGGGTAATGTTTTGTTTTCTTCCAAGTGATGGTTGCCTTGAGTCTCAGAAAAGACTTCGAATTTAGGGGCTTTTGAACAATGCTAGAACTGGGTAAGATTTTTACTTACTCCTCCAGATAAATTAAGTGCATTTTTCTTTGTGAGAGTCTATGAGCCTCTGAGGACAAAGAGTGGAGCTTTACAATTTAAAAGTTAACTGAGTATCAGGCTGACAAAGTATGGCCTTGTGATGTTAAGTCTTGATCATCAATTTTATGGAATGTAGAATCACCATAAGAACATTCCTTGGATTTGTCTATGAAGGTATATTCAGAACCATTTGAGTGAGGTGGGAAGAGCCATACGGAATGAGAGTGGCGCAACCCTACATGGGCTGGGGTACTGAGCTGTATCAAAAGGAAAACACAACAGAGATCCAATGGTATGGTAGACTGTACCCTCAAGCTGGGAGCCAAAATAAACTTTTTCTTCCTTGGTATTTTTATTAGATGCTTTGTCACAGGAAGAACAAAGTAATATCCGAATCCTCCACCCCAGGTGAAGATGCTGGCACAGTGACTGGAGTGGGCATAACCGTCTGAAGTTTAGAGAGTCCCCAGGGTGAGTCTGTCTCATACTGTTCTCCTTTGGAAGTATCCATGGTTTTGAAGCTCTGGTTCCTGCATCAGTGTCTGTATCACTTGAGTCTTTATGGATGAAAATTGACTTCCTGATGTGGGAGTCCCCTCTGTGTGCTGTGATTATCACTAAGGGATAAAGAAACTACTTTGGATATAAGGCAGAACTTCGGTAGGCAGGGAAAACTAAACTGAATGCTGGGAGAAAGAAGGGTGGAGTCAGAAAGATGCCATGTAGCTCTGCTGGAGACAGACACTAGAACTTTAGCCGGTAAGCCACAACCACGTGGCAATACAAAGATGAACAGAAATGAGTTAAATTCAGATGAAAGAGTTAGCCAATAAGAAGCTGGAGCTAATGGCCCAAGCAGTGGTTTAATTAATACAGTTGTTGTGTGATTATTTAGGGTCTAACCTAGCCGGGCAGCTCAGAACCAACAAGCGACCTCCCTCCAACAACTTTCCTTGGTCTAGACCTAGACTTACAGGTCATAACCCTTGGTCTAGACCTAGACTTACAGGTCATAACTCTCTAGTAGGTCATAACTCTCTAGTAGGGGCCATGTATGTTTCTCTTTGAGAAATAGTGAGAAATAGTGATGTAGGGAGTAAGTGGAGTCCTCCAAGCGGTTGGCTTTTCGGCTGAGTGACAGATGTGAGGGAGTTCAGTGACTGAGATGAGTCCCCTGAAAAGAAAAAAAGAAGCTTTTGAATCACGCTACTGTAACTCAGAACCAGAGATGTCAGACATTAGCTGAACTTAAATCAAAACTTGCATTTTGAATCCAAGGACCTGAACCTAAGAAGGCAACTTGCCACCGCTCTGTGGAGGTCAGGTTAGCTAAACTGAAATCACGTAGTCAAGAGCGCCCTTCTCTGTTCTGAGTTGTGGGAGCAAATGAGAAATATATATTATTGGGAACAGGAGGTGAAGCAAAGCAGCAACGGATGGTCTGAGTTCAGTGTAGGCACAGGTGCCATTAAATACCTCGAGTGTAAGGCTGATCTATTAATTTATTTTGCCAGTTGTTTTAATTCCTAAATGTATTCCCATAGCGCATGTTCTACAAACCTTATCCCCAATTCCCTGCTTTCAAAGGCCCTGCCTTTGAGGAATTGAAGCATGGGAGCTCACACATTCACAGAAAGGTCCATAACTTCATGGGCTATTGGAAGGCATTGGGAATTTTAGAAGGTGGGGCGTAAATAGAGCAAGTAGCTCATTGGGGGCAGAAACAATGGAGCCAACTGATCACAGATTGTACCTTCAGAAACCTTAAGCCAAAGTAAACCTTTCTTCCATCAAACTGATTTGACTTCAGGCATTTTGACACAGCAATGGAAAGCTAATTAACACAGCAGTGAAGGTCAGTGACTGAGCTGAGCAGTAACTTCTCCCCCTAGCCGGATCTGCTCATTCCGCTGCCCTGAGGTCCAGGACAGGTTCCACTGTGGCTTCTTGGAGAGGGTGTCCAGCTTTTTCTGTGGGGCATCTGTACTGCTGGGGTAAAATATGATATTTCAGCTGTCCTCGATCTCACATATATTTTACATATACCTTATGGTGCTGTCTCCTTGACCTGTGGCGACCATGGGCCCCCGGCTTAGCACAGAGTCAGTTTCCTGGCCATTCATATGTCCTTGGTAGTTGTTGATTGGTCAGCTGTTCTGGCTGCTCCTCAAATCTTGCAGGGATTTATACCACCACCTCAAAATCATTGAACTCTCTAAAGGAAAGAAACTTTCTAGTTCACTAGGGTGAGGGGTAAAGGCATTTCATGCATGCTCCCCTGGAGAGGCAATGTTAGGAAAGAAGAAAAGAAGGAGGAAAGGAAGCAGCTTTCTCAGCCAGCTGGAGAAACAAATGCATACTTTGGCTTCACTGTGGAATTTTCATCCATGAATGAACTATAGTGATAGAATTATCATTCATGAATGAGCTATAGTGAATACTTGTCATCTTCTGTGATATTTGCTAGATATTTTTATTATGGTGCTTGTGTGTGTGTGCGTGTGTGTGTGTGTGCGTCTTTGTGTATGTGTTTCTGTGTGTGCGTGTGTGCGTGCATGCATGCATGCATGTGTACATACGTGTGTGTGTGGTGTGTGTGTGTGTGTGTGTGTGTGTGTGTGTGTGTGTGTGTGTGATGGAAGAGGGATAATGCACTTGCCGCAGTGCAGGTCTGGAGATCAGAGGACAAATCTGTCAAGTTAGCTCTATCCTTCGACTGACACATGGACTCTGGAGAACAAGTTCAGACTGTCAGGCTTACAGAGAAGGCCAGTACCTTACTGGCAAAGCCAGCTCACTGGCCCTCTTGCATATTTTATTTGCTTTTGGTTTCATTTTTGTTCTCAGACAACAATCTTGCTATGTAACTCAGGCTGTCTTTGAACTCACCCTCTATCCCAGGTTACCTTGAACAATGATTCTCCTGCCTTAGTCCTCATAAATGATGAGATTAAAAAGAGAAGGCATTAGGCTTCTTCTAAATACTTTAAATCATTGCAAATCTATCGGATCAATTTTTTATCAGATCAATTTTTAATTTCCCTTGTTTTACGTGTGAGGAAACTGAGGTTCAGAGAAGCACCCTGACTGACCAATGTTAGTATTACTTAGGGATGGGTTTTATTAGGCTCCCTCGCCAGAACCAGATGAGGAGAGAGCTGACTCATACAGTAAAACTCAATTGCCCCAGCTTCATATTCATTAAATAAACCTATCATGATTGGCCCGCTCTTTGACATTTTTTATTATGAAAGTAAAATATTTATTAGAGGAAAATTGAACAATTCAGATAAGTGTAAAGAAGTGAGTAAAATCACCTAGAATCCCATCAATTAGGTAATTTCTTTAAAAATAACTTTCTTCTGCTTCTACTTCCTATAAAAATAAAATCCATTTTATGGGCTTTCTGCCCCTCCTCTTCTCATTTTAAATATGTGTCTGTTTCTGTTAAACATAAGATGATTTCAATTTAAATTTTATGTAAGAAGGGACTCTTTGGTGTGAATAGAAACATCTAATATTTGAAATGCATTCATTTAGCTAATGGTTAACACGCCAAGAAAAAGGCTTAAAACACAATAAAGACGTGTTGGCGGTAGAGTTTCCCTTTGATGGTCTTCTGATCGGTTTTTACTTGCATTCTGAAAAAGTCTTTTATACTCTTTTACTGAGATGCGGCGAAGTCATAGTGGCTGAGAGTCACTGATGTTAATACGCCCTTCAGTCATGCTAAATGCCAGTATGAAAGCCTTATGTGGCTCCCCTGGGCATAAAACTCCCGTGGGTTCCTGGACTCACTACCATGAATGACTCCTTTCGTGACGGAACCAAGGATCAGGGAAGAGCAACAACTGTGTGAAATGACTTTGTTTGTCTTGGTGGCAACTCTTTCTGTCTTTCAAGTGACCCAGTGATGTAAAGATAAGTAGTTCTCCGTGCGTATATATCATCATTCATTCCAAGTTTCCGCGTCTTTGTAAATAATGTTGTGAATGATGGATTCTATAGGGTCATTGGGCCACTGTGCAATTATCTAATAGAAAAAAAATGTGAGAGTTGGTCTTTTTTTTCTCTTCTGAGCAGCACTCACTGGGTCAATTAATTAAATGAGCGCAAATGGCTTCACGCAGGAGATTCAGATACAGGCATGCAGCAGTCTCATGACACCAGACTGCCCAAAACTACAAAGTGAAGGGAGACTTGGAGGTGTAAGAGGGAGGCAAGTTTTTAAGAAGTCACATAATTCTTTCTTTTGCACATATAGTTAAAAGGCACGGTAGGTCCATATTGGTTTGATCAACATGAGGCGGTGGGATGCCTCGTACATCAGGTCTCTTCTGGGTATGCCTTCTTTCAAGTTTCTTAGAGTTGCGGGGTCTAGTCTGGACCTGTGGCATTGGGTAATTTACATACTATCTTCCGATTGGTTCAGATTGGGGCACCCCTTTGTCTAATTACTTAGCTTTCTGATCATGTAAATGTCCTGCCTGTAGGAAATTTGACTTTCATTATGATAGTCAGTGCTATGAGGGAATAAATTTAAATAATCCTGCGGATATAGGATCCTCATCAAGAAGAATTCGTCTTCCAAACATGTTGTTTAAACAGTTAAGGTACTCGTGACAGCTCATTCCCATGTTCTCAGTTACTGAGAGGTAGAGGCAGGAAGATAAAGCGTTCAAGGTCATCCTGGGGTATACAGTGAGGGTGAAGGCTGCCTGGGCTACATTACTCTGCTTCAAAAGCAACAAGAAAGCCCTGTGTGTCAATATATGTCCTTAATCCCAACACTTGGCAGGCAAAAACAGGGAAATTTCTGTGAGTCTGAGACCAGCCAGGGCTGTATAGTGAGACCTGTCTCAAAATAAACAAACCAACAAATCAGAGAAAACAAACAAACACAAACAATTGAGTAAAACCTTAAAAAAAAACATAGGGTCACATGAAAACATGATGAAGAGATAGAATGATGCATCATGGGGAACAGAATCCCAAAAGCCAGCTAAGCGCCAGGGACAGGTCCTGATCTCACTGCTAGGAACCTTACAAAGGGACCAAGATACACACAATTGTCACACACGTGCTGAGGGCCTACGGGGGTCCCATTCAGGCTCCTAACTGTTGGTCCAGATTCCATGAGTTCCTACAAGCTCAGGTCAGTTGCCTTTGTGGGTTCTCCCGCAATGACATCCCCCTCATTCAATCCCTTCTCCTTTTCTGCAAAGAGGGAACAGGAGGAGAGGACAGAGTGGAAAATGTGCTTGGTATGTATAAAAAAAAATGAAAAAATGCTATTTAAATAAGATAATAAAAAGATGTGCCAACAATTGAAGCCTTGTGAATTAACCTATTTCTTTTCTGTAGTACTTTGGACCTGAAATATACCCACAAAGTCCATGCACTTTAGAGTGTGGTCGCCAATTGGTAATGCTCTTTGGATGGGTAGTGTTTAGACAGTGGGAGTCTCACTG